AGTCATAGCCTGAGGGTATGTAAACACCGTCACATTGAAAGCAAAGATGTTGAGACTCACTGCGCTACATCGTACGATTGCTAATTGAGCCAAGTGTTCGAGCCATCAATCCCAGTCCAACGCCCTTCAGCAGTCTTACACATGTGTTGGATTGCTTGCGAACAAGCAGTCACCCTAATGTGGCTTCGACAGTGGCAGTGGCATGTTGGACCATGTTGGCAGGCTTGCCGGGTCGGCAGCAGTTCCTGCACTGCTAGTCCTCTTACCCTGCAACCCGGCATGAGTAGGAAAATCATTCCTACAACACTCTAGACAACCGTACCGCTGGTTTCTCACGACCCAGACAAACACAAATGGCATACTTTCAACTTGGGAAGGGCGAGAAAGGGGTTGAAAACAGATGATAATCATAGTATTAATAATAATAACAGTAATGACAAAAGAGGTCGTTCTTTCAATAACTGCTAACTTATTAATTACTCAGAGGTACTTTTTAATCAACATCACATCTGCAGTTTTTTAGTTGCACGCCGTTGTAGGACTTGTTCCAAGGACAATACTACAGGTGATTTCCCTTTGAACTCCTTTGTAAACCGTAAACCACACCAAAAAGGGCAACCCGCACGACACAACAGCATGCTGCCCGACTAGTTGCCAACCTGGCGTGGAGCAGGCTCGCACCAGTTGCCCAGTGTCCCCGGCAGCAAAAGGGAACTTTTCCGGGGAAGTTCAATGTTGATTGGAGAATCCACCAAGCAAGAACAGGAACCGTGTGGAGATTGCACAAGGGCCAACCCCTTGCTTTGACATGTTTAAACCACGATTGTCTAAGCAGCAACCTGTTGACTTTTCTTTTGAGGGGAACCAAGGTCCACAGTTTAAACAAATGTCCCCAACCCTGGATTCCACTGGATGGTGTGTCCGTCCAAGGCACGGTCAGCCGCGGAGCAGGCTGGACCACAGGTTCAAGAGGAAGGGCGAAGCCAAGATCTGCCATCCTGAGAGCCGGGAGGTTGCGGAGGAAAACGAGCCAAGACTAAAATCCAATATAATATCTGTATGTATATATATATATATGTATATATGACAAGAGTGGCTAAACACAGACATGTCAATACATGCTCTGGTCATGCTTCAATTTTACTCTCACAACGCCATGTAATCATTCATGCCCTTGTGCTAAGTCATTGGTATCCCGTCTGTTTGACTTCCGCAGAGTCATTGGGCTTACCGCCAAGATTGGTTTAACACACATTCAGTAGACTGCCTCTTAAGCAAACAGAAAGTGGGTGACCAACTTGGTTACTAACAGAGGACCTTGATCTAACCCAATTCGTTCAGCTGCCCTGCCCACGCCCAACATTTTCATAAGAAGCGCTGACGCCATTGCTGCCAAGCCTCTTTGACAATCCAACACAGCAGCAAACAGCTGCAGAAAATCGAGCCGTACTCTGCGGCAATGGCATATGTGAGCAAGCAGGCAGTCAGTTGTCAAATCCCGTAGCGGATAGGACGAAGCATGAGCCACGAACAGCTGAACTTGTGCGGCGTTGCCTGTAGCACGCACACTTCCTCTAAGACAGTTGTGAACCGAAGTGTTAACCTGAGTCATGATCAAAACCAGGTACACAAATGGTGAACCCAGAACCATGTAAAGATTCAATTAAGCAGGCGGCCACAGCTACTTATGGTTGGGATCGTCCGGTACTAACCTTCATCTACCCGGGTTTTGATTGTGACTCACCTGTCAATGGCAAACGGCTTGCGGCTTGCGGTTCTCCAATGCCCAAATCCAGTGGAGGCGAACCAGGGTTTTAGCAATCCAAGCGGAAGGGGCTAGCGATCAAGTGAGACAGGAGACAGGCCTGAGTCCAGTGTCGGATTGGTAAAAAACCTGGATGTGCATAGGATTCTCAAAAAGGGCCTTCCTCTCTGGACAACACGTCAAGCATGTGCCAAACACACCCAAACACAACAACACGGGGACACAATGAGCCTCACATGCACCTCTAATCAAAGAGCAGCAATATATCGAGCCTGCAAGAACACAAATTCACGTGGACATCAGCCACACAATGAATGAACCTGTGACCATTCTTCGGGACATTTGGGATCATTTGTCAGCCTGGCAGGTCCAAGAAACCGGCTGCGACAAGGCATTGAAGGCACCATCACTGAATCCTCCCCTTGATTGCGTCAATCCTGCTGAGCCCGGTGCTTGTCACAAGCGTCTTTGTGGCCCATCGAGGCAAGGCCAAACTAAATCCACACTGTCACCAACCAAACATGTTTTAGAACCCTCCTAAAATGAGCTCAGATCCGTCCTTGAGGACTCCTGCTTTGAGCCTTGAGCCGATGAAAACTGAGAGGGCACCAAACGGTGGCAAATGACAAGAGAGGCCAATGTCCACAGCGTTGGGTTTTTACGCAAAGAAAAGCTGTTTTTTTGATTGGCACAACAGATTTTTTTTGGGGGACATTGACCTCTCTGAGCTCTTCATGTGTTTGTGTTTGTTCCTTTTGTTTGCATTGGCATCTGTGTCTGTCATTCAATCTAGCATCTGCATCTGGCATCTGCATCTGACACTGCCCGATTGTTTGTTTCATAAGGGGAAATGAGCAATTTTTTGGGGCACGCATAAGGTGCTCAGAAAGAGAAGGGGAATACTAAGGGAGTACTCTTCGTCTGGTAAGCCTTAAGTATTATCTTAGTATACTCCTAGTATTCCCTGAATCTTCCCCAGTATTGTCCCAGTATTTACTTCTTGTATTCCCTTACCCCCCCCCCCCCGAGTATTCCCTTTAAACTTCTCAGTAAGAGAAGGGGAATACTAAGGGAATACACTTAGTCTGCTAGTCCTCAGATATTATCTTGGTATACCCCCAGTATTCCCTCAGTACTCCCCTTATTCTCAGCATTTACCTTTTGTATTCCCCTAGCATTTCTTGAGTATTCCCTTAGTATTGCCCTAGCCAGGCAACTAGAGAAGTCAAGCAAATTGAGCTTAAGAATATCCCCGGCATTACCTGGGTATTTCCCCAGTACTCTCCCTTAGTCTTGCCCCAATATTCCCTGAGTATGTCCATAGTATTGCCTGCCCTAGTATGCTTTTGCTATACCCCTAGTATGTCCTCATTATTCCCCTAGAAGGGGACTACTAGGGGAGTACCTTTAGTATTGCCTTAGTATAACTCTAGTATTCTCTTGGCGTACCCCTGGCATTTCCTTCGCTACTCCCTAGTATTCCCTTTACATTGCTCAGCAAGAGAAGGGGAATACTATGGGGATTACCTGTTATTGCCCTAGTATAACTCTAGTATTCTCTTGGCATACCCCCAGCATGTCCATCCCTACCCCCCTAGTACTCCCTTTAAACTGCAAAGTAAGAGAAGAGGAATACTAGGGGATTACCTTTAATATTGCCCTAGTATAACTCTAGTTTTCTCTTGGCATACCCCTAGCATTTCCATCACTACCCTCCTAGTATTCCCTTTAAACTGTCCAGGAAGAGCAGGGGAATACTAAGGGAGTACTCTTAGTCTAGTAGTCCTAAAGTGTTATCTTAGTATACTCCTAGTATTCCCTGAATATTCCCCTAGTATTCTCAGAGCATAGTATTCACCTTTAGTATTCCCTGAGTACTCCCCTATGGTCGCCCTAGCAAGGAAACTAACAGAACTCAGACAGGTTGAGCTTAAGAGTATCCCCTTAGTATTCCCTGAGCATTCCCCTAATATTCTCCCTTAGTATTCCCTTGACATTCCCAAAGTATTTCCATAGTATTGCCCTAGCATTCCCCTAGTACTGCCCTAGTATTGTTTTAGTGTTGGCCTAATAAGAGACGAGGAATACTATGGGCTTACCCTTAGAAAAACCTTGAGAACACCAATATTTCATGTAGAAAACCGAGAACAAAAAAAAACTCGAGGAAACCCAAAAAAAAAAAAGATATGAGGGAACTGTTTGGTACGACAGACTTGGTGGCACCCCAAAGCTCAAGAGATCTCAAACCGAAAAAAACCTCGAGGAAACCCCCCAAAAAAACATAAACAAAAAAACATTCAGACAAATACTTCCGGCAAGTCTGCCATACCAAACATTTCCCTCATATATTTTTTCCGGTTTCCTCGAGTTTTATTGTTTTTTCCGGTTTCCTCGAGTTTCCCCCCCCCCCCCCCCGTTTTTTTGGGATAGAGGCTTCCCCCAAAAAACCCAACGCTCAGGACATTGGTTTCTGAATGACAAATGATTGATACCTCCTGCTTCGAACTTTCAAGCCCGAGGATCTTCCGGTAGCTGCAAAAATGGCAAACGGTAGATGAGAGTCTCTGCGTGCTTCAGCACTTGCAACCAACACATCCTGGTGTTGACGTTGAACAACACACGGCCTGATTAGCATCGAGCAACAAACGAGGGGCCTGCCTGACAGTACTTCCTGACAGTGACCACCTACAAATAACAGAGCTCATGGGGGTCATGATTTGATCATGCCCGTGGAGAGTTCTCTACAGTACTGACTGAGCCAAACAACTCCGTTCGCCTTCGTGCAACAATGTGCCCCACGTGCATGCACGCTGAATGAATGAATCATGCCGGCGGAGGCAACCGGGTCTCACAGTGTGTGAGAGTAATGGGACATGTGGATTTGCTTCCAAAACCAAGACATTGGAGGTTGAGCCGTGGATTTGTTAATGTGCTGTCCTGCCATCTGTTCAAGCCTGCAGGGCCACGTGCCCTCGGCAGAAAGTGCCAAAGGGTGTCCAGAAGTTTAGAACAAGGTGCCTTGAGGACGCCTGTGCAGGGAGGAAAGGGCCCTGTGCTTTGGCCATTCGTGGCTACATACAGTCAGTGCCTATTGTATACATGGGTTTGCCCCCAAATAAGCAGTGCCTCCACATGTGTGTGTCGTCTTGCTTACCCATCAAGGCAGCCCCAAAGGTGGATGCGGTCAATAGACACAGCCACTTGCAGTCAATGCCACGCACCGGGGCGGGTGGCACATCTTTGGAGTCTTGATCTCTTCCTGGAAGCTCTTCCAGACCTGACAGCGCTGGATCTCTCACGGAACCCTGGCCTTGATGGATGCCTTCCAACAATGGGGGAACAGAATCATACATGGAATTCCCGGGCTGGCTGTTTCCCCGATCCCATGTTAATGGGTATATGGTGACCAATTGAACCCGTGAGGCATTTGCAGGGCTCACTCCCCCTGCAAAAATGCAGGCTGCTTCGAAAGTAACTATTGACGGCAATTCGATTGACTTCCTTGCGTGCCAAGTCACGATTCGCTTGACCTCGCCTTTGGTCCAGTTCGTGTGCACAGGCCCGGACTCATGCGACTGGCATCCGCAGGCAGAAGGCACTCTCCAAGGAAAACTGTGAGTTCTGAGTGCGTGCATCTACGCTTTGTGGCGCGGGGGGAAACCTGCAAAAGTCCTCTAGATTCTGACTGCTCCCCAGAAACTATCTCCGACACCGTTGGAACAGCCAGGGACTCCGAAGCAATCATAAGGTACTAGACCAATGAGAAGCTGAGACGAAGCTGAGACTATGGGTCAATATGCGCCTATCAATCTTCTTTGGGGAGTCTTTGGTGGACATCTCGTACATGGGGATTTGTCTCCATCAGCCATGTTGAGGAAGTCAATTAAATGTCTCAAAATGCTTGAGCAGTTCTAGGCCATGCAACAACCAGAGCAACGAATTCGGAAAAGGGCGGAAATGAGTGAAGGGTAAGTAGTGCAACACATCAAAGGCGACCTAGTACCATTCGACAACTACAGTAGACACAATCTTCAGCAACGCTACTTCAGGAGGGCAACTGGCAAATGCTGGAAGCAGCTGAATGGGCATGGTCTCAGGAAAAAGGAAAAAACAACACGATGCTCAGGTCCCCAAGTCCGCAAGCAACTCCGCAAAGATGCTTCTGAGCACAAGCACATGCACGGCCAGACCTCTTCAATCTTGCCAGCAAGAACCTGAGAGCGCAATGATCGTGCCGGCAACTCATGCAAAGCGATGCATGGAATTGTGCTGGCAGAAGCCTCCTCGGGCCTTATGACAGCCTTTCTTTCCTGCAACACTCCAAATACACATCTGTTGATGAGTGAACTCAAATGAATCAGAACTGATTCAGAACTGATAGCACTCTCGCTTGCGATGGTCCTTTTCAGGTGCCCTGGAGTGTTTGTGCCTTGAAGAGATGGTTCCAACGAAACCATCGACAATCCCGTCAGATCCGCTTCGCGGGGTCCCCCTTGCATGGCTGACTGGTGTACGGGCTCCCGCGAAGACGCTGAGCTATGGGCTCCTTCGCAGAACTCCAGCAGCTTCGATTCACTGAGCTCTGCATCTGACCAGAACTCCTGCCGCGCAGCTGAGTGGACACACGGAAACCTACAACCTGATTCACAGGTTTTCGTGGCGGAATCCGCAAAGAAAGGATCGGGAAAAAGATGGGGTTACTCATCCACGAAGTGTCACTATGACTTGCCAAAATGCATAAAGCTATATAACCCAAATCCTCCCTGACAGGTTCAATTGCTTGTAGCGCCCTCGGGTGGCCGAAGGAGCCTGAGCGCGCATCCCGACCAAGGTATGTTAAGAGACTCCCATACCTAGGGACAACATGGGAAAAGCACTTGTTGAGAAACAAACATACCACACCACACCTGTTGGTTTTCCTTTTCGGCTGTATCTCTAATATGTGCGTGGTGCAGGCGTGTGTGAACAGGCGCCAACCAAGCACGCCAATAGCAATCAGTGTAAACCAATGCTATATATATATATATATATATTATATTGACAAAACAGTAACGTATACAGCAATGTGAACTCATCACTCATCATTATGATTTACCTAAATTCACCTTCGTCATGGCGCCAGCTCGTTTTACCTCAGGTTGGCAAGCTCGTCCTCGATGGCTTTTGCCCAAAATTTCAGCGGGAAGCTCACTGGATCTAGGGTCAAAGTAGATGGCACAATTCCTTCCTGTAATTGCAGGATGACTTCAATATGAGGGAAGTGTGTCCCCTTTCACCAAAAAAAAAGGACACAAGTGACTCAGGAGCTCTTTTCCCCAGCGACCAGCTGCCTGCGCCGAAGCCGCAAAGGCGGCGGTCTCTAGGCCGAACCTTGGGACACGAGGGCCGGGCTACCTTCAGATCGGTAGCTTCATGCCAAGGGAGGGCGCCGTTCCTTCAACTTGTTGCCTTTCTCTCTCTGGACTATTTATTATTTTGAGAGGTGTTGCGCTTTTGGGGATAGCTGCCAGCTTTTTCCAAAAAAAAGGTTGATTACAAACGGTAAACACCCTGCTGTATGAAGTTGTTGACGGCAATTGTGTTGCGGGCTTGCCTGATCTTGGGGTGGCCAACATGTGTGGGAAAATCAATAAAACCACTACCCGGCTGGACAACAACCTCCCTTGGAAACATGCCTTTTTGGGTGAAGCTGTATATCTAAACGTGCGGTTGTATATACTTCACGATACAAACACATGTGACAAAATTCAATCAAACCATATGTTGGCCCAAAAGCTGGCTCCGTGCGGCCGGGCTGGCATTATACTTAGAACACTTCTGGCAGCTCAAGCAAGTCTTGCTTCCCAAAGATTCGCATGTTTTGCGTCAGAGTCAAGCATTTCATTTCTGGCTGAGTATCCCAATGGCCGCAGGAGCTGAATCAAAATTGAATCCCCCTCAACTGAAATGGCAATGCCAGCTGCGAACAGTGCCAATTTCAGAGAATGGCTCATGGGCCTTGGATGGACGCCGGCGACTGGACAACTTGAGCGCGCTGCTTCCTGCAGTTCCAACTCACGTTCTCGGCGATGCCGAAGGCGGGGTACTCCTCGAGAGCATCAAGTCTACGCACAAAAGACGAGGAGGGTTCCTGACTAGCATGCCCCAACGCCTGCCACATGACAACCACGCAAAGAAGACACATGTGCATAATCGATACTCATGATATACACCTACGCATGCAGAATCTGACGAGTTGCCCAGTCCGAAATGTGCGTTCGTTTGCGCTACTTGGAGATTTTAGTTTGATAAAAATGATCAAGGCAGTTCAGTGGTTGCCAACTCATTATTTTACTGAACTGAAGTGTGTTGACCAACGAACGGCCCAGCGGTTGCCAACTCTACTGGTAAATATGGATATGCCTATTCCGGTCTCAAGGACCACAAGAACCAACACGTTTGTGGTTTTCCTTCAATGGCCACCCGTGTGCCTTTGGGGTTTCCCTCATTTTGAGACCGACCCAAATCGCTGCGCCATTGCTTGGCGCGGAAGACTTGTATACAACGGAAACCCTTCACGAGGCCAACGAAACGTCAGGCTCTTTGCTGTCCAGCCGTTTGCTATCATGACAAATTCCGACATAGTTTCACTGACTTGTGCAAAAGGCCTAAAGGTAAGAAACCAACCCTTCGGCCAGAACACAGCGGCTGCTTGAACTTTGAACATATTGTGAATAATTTTAAACATATTGTGAAACCGCAAAGACTCACCGCGGTCGGCCCACTGGAAACTCCCGAAATATGGCACGCTGCTGGCCTCGGGATTGGTAAGGCCATAGTCCCTGAGCTCGTAGGAGTACCTCAACCCAGTCTATGAAGATCAACATCCGCAACCCGCCCGACACCGGAAAACAATTCAAGTGCAATCAGGGGCATCAACTGACTATGATGCGCCCAAATCTTGCCACCATAGCAAAACTTGAATAATGAGTACTCTTTGTGCATAATGGCACAAACTTCAACCATGCTGTACACAGGCACTGCCCTGCTTGCCAAGAGTTTGAGGGGAGATATAATAGTTCAGTCACACGCCGGTCGGCCCCAATTATTGCCCGTTTTACTCTTCTGGGACACAAAGCATTCTAGTTTCTAAGCAAATGCCACAGGGTAAGGACACAGCATACCACAGGTTCCCTTGACAAGGGATGAGGTCAACGGGTAAACCACCGAGTATGTACCACCAACAAGGAAACCAAAGGGCATTTCCTCAAATTAGGCTCTCTGCTCACCTTTTGGGCAGTGTTTCAGGGCAATCAAGGGTCAAGCAACCGTTTGTGAGGGTACCCTAAATACATTGGAAACATGTCTATCACAATCCTTTAGGCTCAAACAAGCACACATGCGTTAGAAGCTTTGTGGATTGCATCGCGTGTGCTTCAGACATTTCTCTGAGGAAGTTCTTTTGGATTCCGGCTTAAACTTGAGGAAAGTGTCTGCAAGTAACTGTTCTCAAACATGAACAAAAAGGCTTGAATGGGTCTGACGAGGCGGCTGATCCGTGGAACAATGCTGGGTATTGTGATGTGGCATCTTGCCAGGGAGTATTTCAGTTCCAGGAACACAATGGCTACCACAAGCGTGCATGCAACAGGGGGAAGTTGTGCCCACACTGCCAAATTCGTCCCAAACAACATGACAATAGACAATTATGAAAACACATGTTCGTGAATCGGAACATAATATTCTCAGCCGATGGTCAACTCATGGATACGGGAAATGACGAGAATCCCTACAAGCTCACAAGATTAAGCTTCAGTGGCTCATCTGGCTTTCAACCAAGTTCAGGGAAGAATGCGCAATCAAGACTCCCACTTCAAACCGGACTGATAACTCCTTCAGCAAAAAATATGCTAAAACTAGGCATCCCAAAATCTAAATGGGGAAATCATGCTTTCCAAACAGATTCACGTTGCAAACCACAATTTATCAGTCTGGGTAAATGTGATTTGCTCGAACCAGCCAGTGGACACGGAAAAATTGCACGTGCATCAAGTCGGTGGGCTTCCACAAATGGTGTGCAGCTCTCTGAACCCTGGCAGATCACGTGGACTTCTTCTGCTTTACGAAGGCCATTCTTCCAAGCAGCCTTGGAAGCTGGGCTACGAGAGGTGAGAGCCTTGCTTGGATTTTGGGTATCCACTGCCTCTGAAACTGCGCGAATCATGTTGTTTGGTCCCCACCCACGCAACATATCAGCAAGAAATGCGGACGAAGGTGCTCCTGGATATGTAAAACAGTGGATGCGCAACGGAAGAGAAACAGGGAGCCTTGCAGTGGAACACGTTCAAAGCTAGCCCAGCTCTGCACCTCATTGCTTTCCGATTTCTGGAGCTGATATTCTCCCAACAAGCCTGTGGCCCTCTGCCCATGTTTCAAAGCTGGCTCGCATCTCCCTGCAGCCCAAAAGCCTCTTGGCCACCGCTGTCACAGTGCGCTTCACCTTGCGAACGACCCAAGGTGCCAAGGTGGGGTACCGGTCCAAGTCCAGCGCTGGTTCCATGGTGAGCATATCACCGGGCGAACATGTTGATTCAGCTTGGGGAAGTGGATCCCTTCTGGGCTGATTTGGGTCAGCAGCAAGAGCCATGGAGAGGTCATGGCCCATAGTCGTGATTAGGCTGCAACAACTCCGATTGCCACGGCTCCGAAGCTGTATATTTTGGAGTGCTGCCAAACGGCAACTTGAAAAGCCGAGCACCAAACTACAGCAATCCACCAATCATCTATGATCTCACGAAGGGAACCATTCAGGCAAATACAGACAAGGGCGGCATAAGCACAAAAGGGATATCACCAATGATGGAGACGTGCAATATTCAGCTTGCTGGAAATGACATTGTATGTATCCAAGATGATTGAATTAAGCTGGCGATGTTTAGTGTTTTGGAGCAGGCGCCCCTAAACAATTTCGCGAAGATCGGATCAGGGTAAACAACTCATGCTTGCAATATATCCTGTAAACTCAACACAACAATGTTTCTTTGCAAGGCCATGTGAACATGCCTTGAGAGCAAGTGCGGAACATTGAACAAGCACGGGCTCAGACCCAGCTCCTGTCTCAATCCACAGCGTATGGCTTACGAGCACAAAGTGATGAATGAAAGGCAAGATAAGACAGTTGTCCCAGTTCCTTACCTGTGGCACACAGCTAGACATACGCAACAGGTTCAATGGGAGACACCACACTATTTCAAGGTGCACCGCGCTAACACCTGCTAGTGTCTGTCTACCAAGGTATGATTTGTTTTTTCATACATTCTGCTCTCTCCCATAAGCTTGGGGCCTGGGTTGGTTGTTTTGTGATTGTTTTGGTTTTTGTTTGAGCCCTGTGTCTGGGTTGTTCTTGAAGGAAACCAAAAGGGAAACCGGCCATTGGGGGGTTCCCTTGTTTTGAGACAAATCCATGGATACCACTGAGCCTGTCTACCAAAAAATGAGGACCCACCAAAGTTGACCATGGCTCAAGCTGCCCAGCTGGACTTGGAAATGCAGACATGCGGCAGGACCCTTCCCTGCCTGCGCTTGGAAAGTCTCGTCCGGGCTCTTGTCATCATACCAAACCTGTGAGACGTGGCATGCAAGTTGCGACCAGGTGAGAAGTGGATGACGACTAACGTATCCTAGTCACCTGGTAGATTTGAAGAGCTTGAACAACTTGGGGTTGCATTCGGCAAGGTCGTAATCAAACTTTGCAACATTGATGGCTTGGTCTGAGGGCTTTCACGCGTGCTACCATCACGGACCACACATCCATGCGAAAGCTGAGCGAGCCACACCCCAATGTCCTGATGTGTCCAACAACAAAAACAGCGCACAATCACGGGATCCAGCTCTGAATTGTCACAAAATGGAAAACCACCTTTGGAAGACTGGACAGCAAACATCCGGGACTGAGAGATCCCTCATTTGGACACACTTGCACATGACGCACCTCCTTTTCTGTTGGCTCGCCCCCGCTCTCTCTTTCGCTTTCGCTCTCTGTGTCTCTCTTGCTATTTCCCGCTCTCTCTGTCAGTCTTCTGCTTCTGTTGTCTCCTGCTCTCTCGCTCTCTCCCTCTTTGAGACCCCACGCGTGCCAAAGGCAGCTTCATCCTCTCGTAAGTCTCCTCAGCTGAGACGCGAGCGAGAAAAGTATTGCTTGATACAATTAAACCTGCCACTTTCTTGGGGTAATCACACTAAACACCACCATTGGCTGAAAGCAAGGAACCCGAAGATGTGCTTCGCAGCGCCGCTTGGATTTGGGCTCGGCACGCCTGAAGCCTGGGTCATGGCACGATCTGAGTGGCTGAAACGCTCTATGCACTTTATGTATGTTGCACGAACGCTGTGATTTGATGAGCTGTGGCACCATGGTGCTTGCTGGGGTTGTGTGAAGGCAACCTTTGGCAGCATGTAACCAAACTTGGGCCACGCTGTTTCATTTGGTAAAGCTGCGAGAAGGACGCAAGCAAGTTCTAACAAGCCATTCTAACAAACCAAAAGCTGAAGTGCTGATAAGCATCAGTACAGTTAGACTCCACAATTGTACATGCACAAGCATGCATTTTAAGAGCTGTGAGCTGGTGATGGCACAGAAAAGTAAGCAGGTAGGCTATTCCGTCTACGCGTACATGTATTTGTGAATGCGGCGTGATTGGTAGACATAGCCGCCGGCCGGTCTTGCCCGGACCCTTTTGCAAGTTGTCAAGACACTTTGGCAACCTCTTCTCACTTACCTATCTGATGTTCGTCAAATACTTCAAAAGCACCCTTCGCAGTGCACTTGTGGCACATAAGCCACGGCCCCAGACGTATGTCTTACAGCTCTATGGGGGCAAGCCGCATCACGGCCACCAAAATAAGCCCGTATTCCTCACAGCCCATAATGATGAATGGTCAACCCCCCCCCCCCCCGATCACTTCCAAATGAATCAACATATCTCAACGTCGAATTCATCGCCAACTCCCTTTGTCAGTGATCCCTTTCAGCGGGTTCGTAGAAATCTTCCTTGGTTCGTATAGTCGGAATGAACAAAACATGATCACCAAAAACACAGCTGCCATTGTGGCACAGCGGGGCTTGACATTACATGCTCTGCAGGCAGGAATCTCTCTTCATCCAGTCATACTCCTGCAGGAGAGGGACTGATCGCTGCCTGACGCATTGCGCAGGCCGAGCCTTCGTCTTGCGCTCTAGGAGCAAACATGGCATAACGCCCAAATCTACAGACCACAGATGGGGGATGACGGGCTTTCCATGGCGTTCCCGTGGTCCAAAGCCATTATTCAATTCAATTGCAGCATCTCGAAGATACATGATGCTTGTATAGTAGCGGAACATGCACAATTATCTGTTCAATAAACAGGTGAAAAAGCCTCAATGCATTTGTCGTACATTCGAACTGCAAAGTTCCCCTCGCATGCTTGTCCAGGCCCAAGCCCGCGCCTCAACCAAGTCTCCAAGACAGTCTGGTTGTCCTGACAACGGCTGAGGAGCGTTCCATATGGGCTTGCTCTAGGGGTACAGTGCATCTCAAAATGGGCGGATTTCTTTTGGTTCCCCCACAACAACGAAGCCCTCGCAAAAGACGCGCCATATGGTTCACTTGCTCGACTTGTACACACAAAGATTGCCACAAGATCTGATTCGCAAACATCATCCCTGCTGCGCAACTATTCGCCTTGTAAGTGCAACTCTGACAAGCAAAGCCTCGGGGACACATCTAATGCTTTGTTTGTCCCCGTTTCTCAGCGAAACTGGCACCAAACAGGGACTCCTGACTTGCCGATGACTCCAACTATCAAACGCTAATGTAACACATTCATATTTGCCGGTTGTCTGAAAATACCATCCGAAAAAGCCAGCTTCGCAAGACACAACATACACTTTCGCCGCTGGTCGCGACCTCCGTCGCGGATCTTTCGCAGGGTTATTTTCACAACATTCTATACACAAGCACGACACAAGGCACACTTCCGCAGCAGTCGCGCAGCAGCAGGGCCCGTTGGCCACCCATGGACTTCCGCAAAACTTCCGCGAATGCACCAAATATTGCCGAAACAATGGCTAGTTGCGCTCAACTGGACCCAAAGGATGCAACAACTCCAACAAGCTGCCCAGGATTGCTTTTGCAGCGACTTACTTTTGCGGCGGCCGTGCTTTCCTGCGATTCTGTAAAGCACTGCCAGCAAATACACATGGCTCGTCAGTTCATTTTCCTTTGACAAACCCTTGCATAAAACTTTCGCGAATAAAGTAATAAAGGCCTTCATCGCGCAGCTTTCATGGAGGCCAACACCAACACCAAAAGGTGCTTCCCTTCCTCTCTCAAGGCCAGCACGCTTTTGGACGACTCCCATTTACAAATAGTTTGTATGCACAGAGACCTGATAACATACCCCCACACATTGACATAAAGGATCGCTTACAAGTATGCTAATATATAATATGTATATATATATATATATAATAATCCCTCTGGGGCGGTGGCTCGAAAGTCTGCTAGCTTCAGCGTCATGGGCTCGGATTCGGTCCAGAGCTCGATGTGGTCCCTACGAAGCTCTAGAGGGCTGGAGGGTAAGGGGAAAAGGAGGAAATTGAGCATGAAAAGCTTGGGAAGACAAGGGGAAAGGGACGCGAACGACACCTCCGAAAGATCAAGACAAACTGGAAGCAAAGAAAAAGGGGCAAAAGTGAGAAAGTAGGAACTGACATGGCATGGCGGGTCAGAAAAGGCAGGCCCCTTGTCAACTGTGCAAGCAAATCGGGACAACATCGACCACATGGAGCAACTGAATTGGGCTCACCTGGCTGACTCGTTGGGGTGCAAATGGACATCCTCCTGCGGAGATTTAGCATCCTGGGTTCCCATGCGTGTACAGTGGTTGTGGAAGTGGCTGGTCACCGAATCGATTGAAATTGGGATGAGAAGGGCGCCAAATTTATGCCCCAATCAATCGGGTTCCATCTGCTCTAAAATAAAATGACAATCCCTAGCCCCCCACTTGAGTAGCAGTGTGGATTGACCTTGGCGTAGGCGTGTCATTACAGACAAGCGGTTTGTCGCCTTGCCAGGTCGGATTTGGACGATGCTAAGACTGTGTTGAACACTATTGGCCTTTTGGGATGACCCAACGCGTCAGCCAGCAGAGATGCTGCATTTGCGCGAAAAACTCACTACTTCGCAGTAATCAAGAGCGACTCGATAAGGCATAGTGCTTGCTCGGCTGACTGGCCAAACATGTCGTGCTTGTTCATAACACCCATGAATCAGCAGAACCCTGTAAAAGGCGGAACTGGTATGGAGGGTACTGGGAATGCTCATTTTGTTTCGTTAATAATCAAGTGTTGACGGGCGAGCATGGTGATTCCAAACTGTAAATGAACATGTTGCTAACACAAAGAACTCAACGACCCAGCAAGTCGTACAATCACCTCCACAGCATCAGCATTGCTAGTTCCACGTCATGCGTGATGGAAAACAAATCCGGCTACCAGTAGATTGAGCAACTGAAACCAAATGCTTGCGTTGTCAAACTCAGGTCCATCATGCCCAAGTCAGGCTCATTTCCAACACATCCAGTGCTTCATGTATGAATCCATCCTTGGCATCATACTCCTGATCTGACCAAACAGCTGCAAGCAGCTGCGCACAACTGAAATAACAAGACCCAATCTTGTGATCAAGATCCATGCAAACTCCTGCCTGCCCTCACCAAAGACTGCCGCAAAGGCCAGCTCGCCTCGCCTTTCCAATTGAAGAAGTTGGCGGAGGGTGGTGTCTGCAGGTGAGGCCCGTTAAACCCCTTGCCACGAACAATACCTTTGACAAAACAGGGGATGGTAGAGGTGAAGCAAATGGTTGCATCAGCCATTGCCCCACATGCGCTTGTTGTCTCGAGTGGATACCAAAAGAACCATCTACCAATGCGCCTGGTTCAGATCCGCAGCCCGTATCTCAACCATTTGAACCTAGAACAAGCAATCACCTGCTTGAGTCCCAAGGGAATGGGAATTTCCGTGACCTGTGGAAACACTGGGCACACGAATGGAACCTTCCCAGGTAAAATGCTCTGCCCTTCACCCTGCTTGCACCTCTGAAAAGCCTCAAATTACAATGACTTGTCCGTCTCGGGAAACTAGCTCAAAAGCAGATCACGGTACCAGGTATGAAGCTCATCTCAACTAGGGAAGGATTAACTTTTGGCTGGCATTTGCGTTTGGCATTAAAACAAACCAACATGTCTCCCACATATGCTTGAATGCATACATACATGTCACTGGCGGCGGCCGGGGGGGGGGGGGGCAACTTTTTGTTTCTTACCATGAGGCAGGGCCTTTAGGAATCCTTGACGTTATTATATATAAGCAAAGTCAGCGAGGTGCCATTTGTGTTTGCCCACGGACCTTGCTAGGCCTGGGCGGCTGCTATTTCAGACCATGTTCTAGCGAACCTCCAGTCATGTGCGTGACCTGTGTTGCGGTTCACATGTGTGGAGAAAATTGGAGAAAGACATGCTGGGGGCACTCATCATTAATCCTACAAAAGCCAGCAAGACACAAACTGTTTCCCCAGATCTACGGAGAGGGCAGCAAGTATTGGAGGATCAAAACTACCTACAAAGTGGTCAACTCACCGAAGAATCAGGTCACGTCAAGCGGAAATGTGTCAACCTGCAGGGTCCTTGCTTTCGATCCCATGTAGAACAAACCACTGCCTCCCTTGGTTGAAGACTTAACCGCCGGTGCCAACAATGGATGCCAATGCCAAGTGTTGTGGCTGCACTCTTCTGTGTCCGACATAGTTTTATCTCGAGGTTGAGGGGTACATAGTTCCCAGATCCGCTGATTTGTTCTGCCAATGCACCCTTGCCGTGCTTGCAATTGAGCCACGGTCAGTATATTCATTGTGTCCCCACCCCACATTGCTTGTTGGTAGGTACCGGTGAGTGCCCCATGTCATTCCATGTTCATTTCATTCACCTCAGTAGATGAGAGTAAACATTGACAGTTGTTCTAGTCAGAGTGGCATTCTTGGGGGAAATTGAAGTGTGTTGCAGACCTTCACACTTGGTGTCCCTTGAAACCACCCCCAAATGGTACCCTACAACACACACACACACACCGTTTGCGTATTTGTGCAGAGACGCCCTTGTGGTGTGGCGCAGCTGGGGTCTGGACATTCGATTGGCCGCTCGCTTGAACATCAGGTATTCCTTCTGGTCCTCGCAGATTGTGACCCGGTAGCGACATTAAAGAGGGCTATGGTGTCGTCGTACTCAAACAAAATATAATTCTAGTACCATAAACAAGATATATTTCACTTCCAGCCACTATGAGCAAACTATAGACTATAAAGCTACAATAAAACCATGCAAGACATCCAACTGTAGAACGTAGGGCTATGGGCAGATCCTTTCATGCATCTACTAGCAGCGAATCTGGGTGTGCAATGGTTTATGAATCACAAATGATCAGAAGGCTCATCCAAAATCGGTCGGGCCGAGCAAGCGTCGTTGACATCCTTTGCTTCAGCTGCAATCTGGCGTCAGGAGGCTTCCTGAATCTAAAAGGCACTTGTGAATCAAAGTGCCCGTATGAATCACAGGAGTGTAACTCAGTGATTCATTAAATTCTGTCATTGTTGCGACGGCCAGACCCTGTGGTCTTTGTCTTTTCAGGAACCATCTTAATTAGACCAGATTGAAAGAACATGGCGCAATTCCCTGTCCATGCGTCGGTAAATCGGATGATTAAACTAAATGGGATACTGGCCAATTCCGTAGAGCAAACAAAGTGATATGTCATGTCGAGCCATGCCACTACAAACAAACAAGCAACCAATCACAAAGTTATTGGCAACATGGCACCCCATGAAATCAAGTGCTATGTGGACACACCACACCACACACACACACACAAGCCTCACAACCCCAACTTGTACAAGTATCTTGCTACATGCACTATGGAGTGCTCACAAGAACATCCATAGCTTTAAGCTCGGTACTGAAGCTCTGTCAGTTCTGTAGGTTCTCAACAGGAAGCTGACCCAGCACAACACCATGACGAGATGTGTGGGATATGATCATTTAGGGGAATCCCCCCTTCACAAAACGGGGACCAAAAATGCAACAAACAAACAGTTTTCTTCAGACCAGCCCTGGAAAATTGACCAAAGCGGTTTCAGAGGGGTTAACAAGTGGACTGAGGCCTTGCCGAGAGCCGAGCCCAACGTCCTTGGAGCCGAAAAAAAGCGCCGTGACGTTGGAGGCCTCCGTTCGAACAGGGCCCTCTATCCTTCGTAAGCATCAGCCCACTGAAGGGAGCTCAACTTTTACAAAACAACCGCCAACAACTTATGTATGAAACTACCAGGGGACACACAGGGAATCTTGTCGAATTCAAATACAAACTGCTAGGAGGTTCGACCTGTGCCAACTGTCAATGGGCTTGGGTTGATTCATTGAAATGCGCAGGTGTCCGTTGTTCAAAATGTTCCACGACACGAGTCTTTCAAAAGCCTACACTATCACTACAGGTGACATACAGGGATTGGACGTCTTTCAACTGGACTAGCACACACAACAAGGCTGCTTCACAGCCGTTGATTCCCGTCCCTTCAAAAGAGGTCCGCGACTAAGCCATACTCTTTTGCTGGTCTCAACCAACATCTGCAGATGCGAGCTTTGTTATTTGACAGTGTCGCTCATAAGCCGCTGAACAATACCCCTTTGACGAGTGATGGGCTTGATGGCCATGACCGTTTAAAGCAAATACGAGCAACTCTTGGCTCGCGTGTGCGATCCTATGGGACGTGAGGTCCGGCAGCTTTGGAGTCCGAAGCCGCGCCTTGAGGCGGTCAGCCTCCTTTGGCGACACCTCTGTCACGGCTGGGCCTTGCAAACGTGGCAGGGTGGCAACAGCTGAGATGCTCAGTGTCGCGCATGTGGGTTGCGTCTCCTTGCTACCTCTTGTCATCTTTAGGCGTGCGCTAACTGTTGTTAACTGTGCAGTCCTTTTGCCAGCATGGGTGCCCCGCCAGCAGTCAGTCAGCACGGCCAGTACTTTTGGTAACTGCGGCGTTCAGGTGTCCTGTCTGTTGTGGCTCTATTGAGTATGGGTAGAGGTGCTACCTTGCGAGAAGAATGATGGAACCATGCCCCACCCCCAAACTCTCTCTCTCGCTCTCGCTCTCCCTCTTCTCCGTCTTGGAATGAATGCAAACAGGGTGGTAGCAGCAAGTTGGAGCCCGCATAAGCTCACGCCTCTCCTGAAAGCAATATTACAACCATCATGCTTGTGGCCGCAACATAACCGAGGCAATATGCAAAGGTAAGTTGCTTGCTACTAAGATCAATATCAGGTGTATAGAGCATCGGCAGCATCGGTGTCAAGATCTGCTCACCACATTTTTACAAATACTCAAAAACCCTGGGGAGTGGAAGGGGCCAGTAGTTTCGTGGCTACCAAAACCGATCAAGTCACTAGCCTGGGGAGGGTCCCCTTGGGCGCGGGCTGAGAAACCTCCTTAGCTCCTCCAACAGCTTCGCCTCCTCGAACTGGCTCTTAATCCTCGCGGGCTCCTGGCAGATGGTGCAGCGTGCCCGCAGCTGAAAGGGATGCTCCGGTGGCCAACTGTGAAGCTACATGTCATGCCAAAGATATTTGTTGCTATAAATGGCTTGGACTTATACTCCTTGGTGATAGCGCTACAAATGGGTTGTACTTCTACGCCCTGGTGTTGTAACACATATTGATGCTACCCAATGCGAATATCACAGTGGTCATTGCCCAGTCGAGCACCTCATCCTCATTGAAGACCAGGTATTCGCCTGGAGGTTCGTATGCGTACGGTGAAGCAAGGAACAACTTTGAGAAACACTGGGCGACAGGAGGATGTACATATACACATACATGCCCACATCCCGCAGAGGGGGCCATCACAGGTATACATGTCATGCTTCTCCGCGGCTACCAGGAATTCACACTTAACCCTTCTTGCGTTCTATGATTTTGGCGAGGACACATCATGCCAAGCCATAAATCATGTCTCATCAGCAGGCAACTATTCGTTCACATACGATACCTTGAGACTGATGCAACAAAACATGTGCTGCTTGGGTTGCTCCCACACTCTGCAAGCTGTAACCCACTTTTTCCACTTTTTGAAAGCTGCAAGCACAAGTCATAACATTAAGGCGTTCATGTTTTACCGGACTCGTCTCTTGCAATGTCCGCCACCTCATGGACATTTGGAGGTTAACCTCTGGGACTGGTGACCGACAGGCGGGCTGCACTGGGGTCCCAGCAGTTGTGGCTGCAGGTAACTTCCCACTGTCTCGCCTGGCAGTCTTTCAGCGGCTTGTACAAGATGTGGGGCTCATTCTGATGGAAACATGATGATGCACAAACCTGAAATGGATCTAGGTCAAAAATAAGTACCCCAAATGGAACCCTGGCAAATGGAACCAAGGACTAAAACCAGCGGTTTTGTTGTGGTTTAATTTGTACCCCAAATAAGAAATGGACACCCCCAAAGTAGGAACTTCATCATGGGCGAGGTCGCCGGCCGTGAAGGCGTCATAACTTGCTAACATGCACCATCCGAGCGATGGCTTCGCCGTTGCCGCAAGTCCGTCACGGCCTTTTCCAACACCAACCCTCTTGGGAGTCAGAATCGGCCTCATGTGCAAGTAGGCACTTTACTGCCGGTAGGTGCAAATCTGCACCAGCTTTGTTGACTATTTTTGTCAGATCTTCTTGTCGATCAAATGCTCTAGAAGCCAATCTATCAAAAACCATAATACATATTCCATCACATTCATATCGAGGTACAGAACAATAGCAATCGCGGCACGCAGCGTTGGGGAACCTCAATGAGTATGCCTTTGGTGGATCCTGGTAATGCGGAAAGACCTTCGGGATTTCCCAGATGTTGGACAACCTCCCATGTTTCACAAGCAGAACAAGTACGTGCCTGTTCTTGGTAGCAAATGTAATCAAACCTCTCCAAGCAATGCCTCAGAGAGAAACCTCTGCGTGGGACAGTTCCACATCCCAAACACGCCACTCCACTCCATCCGTGCCAGTTCAGCCAGGCGCTTGTTCTCGCGCGCGTCCAAGTAGGCAAAGGTCACCTTGGGTCTGATGCGTTGGGCCAAACAAAGAGCCCAAGGCAAGCTGCTTGAAGCTGTTTTGATGCACACGAGAAGTGTCCCTTTCAACGCGGAACGCGTCTTTAGGGCCACTTGCAAGACCACCATGGGATGCGCATCCCCCCACGTAACGGCCAAACACCATAATATATCCTGGCTTATATTCTGAAAAGGAAAGTTGATCCTGGAGGTTCCACCCGCCTACTTCCATGCATTGCTTAGTAGGTGGCATGCATTGCTTAGCTGGTGGGACCCAAAATGCCCTACCTACAGTTCCTCATGAATTACGGACAACTTTGATTTTGCAGGCACCAGGAGTACAGTTTACTTTGGCACTTGCCTGTATCCCGATTCCTTGCCAATGGACTCCGTGTAAGCAGTATCCCTTCCATCTGTCGCAAAGAAACCACTGTGCGCTGGCCTTCTTCCACTCCTTCGCCTTCTTCCTCCGAGCCTGGCACGCGTCCGGAAGTACGCAAACGTATCTATGTACTATGTACATAAGAGTGCTCAAGAGACTCAAATGGTAGTTCAGCGCAAGGCTCTCTCTCCCTCTTTCTATCTCTCTCCATACACATATGTATGATGTATGCATATGTATTATATTCACACAAACTACATACCATGGGTCCCGGATGCGCACTGAATACCCTCTGGTGGAAACAACCTGGACCATGGGTCCCGGATGCGAACTGAATACCCTCTGGTGGAAACAACCCGAGTTCTTCCCCATCCAGTCATTAAGCAGTTGACCAGTACGCCTATAGCCTCGTACAGCCATGCCACATCGATATCTGGGCGCTGAACATCCACACACATACACTAGACGGATATGATATGTGTCCAGGGTGCATTTCCTTCGCCCAAGCTGACAAAAAATGCATGGACTGCCTGGTAGCACGCTGTGGGTAACTCAGCCGCCACTGATTGGATGGGAGGGCCACACAAGAGCATCCTAGGTCGCTGACAGACGCAGTGGAAATGGTTCAACCTCATTGAAGTTAAAATGTCAACAAAGACGCCCTGACTGCCCAGCCACCTGGCAGCTTTCAGCGCACATATGCAGCTCTCCAAACAGCATCCCCTTGCATCTAATTATAATCTAAAGCCAGGGGTATGTGCTACGCGTAAATAATGAACAGCTGCAAGTGCAAATGAAACGAGAACCAATGTCGAAACATGAAATCCGGTGACAGGAAACCACTCACATATTGTTCACCTAAATTTGAAGGCACATCTGCACATGTCAATGTCAAGTCGATGGCAGGCCCCGTGGGAGCCTCATTTTTCTGAGGGTACACTTTTTGGTCTGGTTGGAAAGTGAATTCAGAGCCCATGTTTTGCGGTTGCCCCATTGTCGGACATCCCATGATAGCCCATGGAATTACGTGGCCCCGTGGTCCACTCAAGTCCGCCACCGTTAACGAAGCAGCCACAGCGCCTTTGCCGCGGCGGCGCTCTTCAAGAAGGTCTGGTCCTTACGAAACGCGAGGCGGTCGCCGGGTGCTTCATCCCACAGCACCCAGCTGGGAAGGTACCCCCGACCATACATTTCCTTTGTGCCCAAAGGGAACATGTATCAAAAGGGTTTCTTAGGGGTGGCACCTCTCCTTTCATACACATAAGTCACATAAGGGATTGGGAAAACCATTTCAAAGGCTCTGGACTCATAGGGGTCTTGTGAGCGTGTGGAAAATGCTTTTGGATGGCGCTTTGGGACTCATTGGTGACTTTTCTGTCGCCGCGGAACCAGACAAACTCTGCGAACAAACTCAGGGGCTCCGTGAGATTCCAAGGCGCCCGGCACTGGAAGAGCAATCTTTGCACCAAGGGAACCTGGCACAAGCCCTAGAAATAGCCCAGGTGGTATCCCCAACAGCGGAACCCCCTGGAACTCTCTGGAGCTCTCCCTAAAAGCTGCCCCTAAGCACCCCAGAGCCTTTCCGGGCAAAGACCCCATAGCTTCCAGCTGTTGGGGAATTAAGACGAATAACTGATTTAAGGAAAAACAAAACGTGATACGTGAGGTTAAATATCAATAAGGATAGATCTTCATGAACATCGACTGGCGGGGTTTTCAGGTTCAAGACGGGCTTTCTGGACCCGAACACACAGCAATACGACGTGTCTTCTTAGTTGGTAATGGGATTTGTGCGTACTTTCTTTGGATCATCAGGCGAGGCTACCAGTTCTCAAGGCCAGCAGGTGCTGGATGTTTTTTTCTCCTCCGTGCACCATGTAGAAACTGCCAACATGCTTGGCGGGAAAACAGGACGTGCCAACGTGCAAAGACACAAAAAACAGCCTGGGACAAACACGCAAAGCCAGCACGAACACAGGACCAGTGATACGGCTGTGTATCATCCTTATTATTCAGAAACTCACTACAACTGCTTGTATCTCGCGAGAAGTGCAGTCAACACATGTCCATAAGACCTGCGAAGGTGAATCGTGCTAGTAGAAAATAGGGCTGTCCGCACTTCTCAACTCCGATTCCTTTTTCGAAGAAGAAATCATCAAACAGCCCTGATATCCTTGGACTTGCGGGAAGACGAACCATAGCCCCATTCCTAAATGGAGAGAAGATGAAGCACTTGAGCCGCCAGCACCATCCAAAACAAATGGTTTTTGGCTTCTGCTGTCACATTTGCAAAACCTGTCAATAAGTCAAGTCAGGGAGTGCAGCCTCTTACCCACTTGGGCGCTCCTCTGGGGTTGGAAGCTCAGTTTGGGTGAACTTCTCCACGCCTGGCTGCTACGACTAGGCAGGTCTGCGATGCCAGGGTCCTGAGAATGCGGCCGTCCGTACAAGTCTGACCCAAAGGTTCCAGTTTCCAACTATAGCACGGGCGTGCGGAATGTGTGCGTGCGTGCGCTTGTGTGCACGTGAGGCGCGCATCTCTCTCTGTGTGAGTGTGTGTGTCTCTGTGTGTGTGTCTGCGGTGTGGGTGCTTGTGCGCATGTGCGTGTGTGTGTGTGTGTGTGTGTGGCGTGGCGTGGCATGCCGTGGCGTGGTGCGGTCTGTGGTGTGGAGGTGAGGTAGGTGCGTGCATGCGTGCGTGCGTGTGTGTGTGTGTGCGTGTGTCAATGTGGCGTGGAGTGAAGTGGAGAGAAGTGGAGTGAAGTGAGGCGGGGCGGGGTGAGGTGGGTTTGTGCGTGCGCGATTGTGTGTCTGTGGGTCTGTGTTTTCTCGGGGCACAAGTGTCTGTTTGTGTGCGTGAGGAATCAATGTCGGACACTTCGGATGCTGGCTTTTAGCTATGCATTTGTACGCTTCGATGGTTTCCGACTTACCTGAAAAATGGCCATGCCTTAGCATGAAATGGCAACAAATAAATGCCGATGCGTGATCCATACGTTGGTTCCTCGACTGTTGCAGAGACCTTGCTTCCCAACTGTTGTCATTGCCGTCGATGGTGCTTGTGTTTCCCACGCCGTTGCCTGGGCACAAAAACAACCCCGTGCACAACCCTTATATCCTTATGCCCTAGTATCGGTCAGTATCGGGTTTTTTCCTCTGCATCGGCTTGCAGTGTTTTGGCAGCTCTAGCTCGAAAGTCGCGACTTTTCCGTACAAGTGCAGTATACGAAGTACACTCTGACAGCTCCGGCTCGAAAGTCGCAACTTTTCAGTACAAGTGTAGCATACATAGTACATTTTGGCAGCTCCAGCTGGAAAAGTCGCAACTTTGCAGTACAAGTGTAGTACACAAAGTACATTTGGTCAGCTCCACCTGGAAATAGCCGCAACTTTTCAGTACAAGTGTAGGACACAAAGTACATTTTGGCAGCTCCAGCTGGAAAGTCTCAACTGTTCACTACAAATGTAGTCGGTTGGATTCGGCATGGCGGCTAATGAGTTGGGTATCGGTTGGGTATCGGTTTGGGTATCGGTTTGGGTATCGGTTTGGGCCCTGCAAATTTATGATTTCGCAATCTTGGTTTGCGACAACAACTTGGAGCTGATGATAGCTGATGTGTCTTCATGGCTTCTGGGGGTATCGGTTTTTGGCTCAGTATCGGTTTACAATGGTTTTGGCCTGCGAAACAAGTTAAGGGACGGCCCCTTACATAACGAAAAGGCGCGGGGTTGTTTTTTCAGCCCATTTGCAGTCAGCTTTATTCGGAGAACCCCAGCCACCACTAGTGGTTCAAGGGGCCACCCAAAGTTTGGATCGGCCAGCGCTTCCTGGTACCACCATAATTCACCAGGTGTTGCGCTAGTTTCCCCTAGTTGCCAAGCCATCTAAAGGGCATTCAAGTACCCTCTAAGCAAAAAAACGTGGAGCCGGACCAAGGCCCTGGGTCTTGCAAAAGCGGCAGCGGTACACTTCCATGCCTCTGGACGGCTAACAACCCGGGCCTGTCCGGTTGGTTCATACAACGGTTCGCTATGTTTGCCAAAACTGACATGGAATCATGAACAGTTTGATCGGATTCCCAAGTGAGCTTCGTGTTTCCTAGGTACAGTGTTGCATGCGGTAGGTCCCTAGTTGGTCCCCAAATACCTTCAACAAACATCTCATCTTAATCACAAAACAGCCCCCGAGAGTAACAGTGACCTCAGCAGTACATTAGCTTGGCTGGCTTCACTGCCAACTTCGTTGTCTTGCCATGAGACACTCCGAAGGCTACCCTCTTTGCAACAATGAAGTGTACAGGTATTTGAAGATGGCAATTTCCAAAACAGTTCGGCACACTTTCATGATACAGGGCAACCGGTATAACTATTCTTGTGGTCGTGGCTGCTCAGCGATTGAGGGGCATGACACATGACAATAGGTCGGGCTGCCCGACTTGTTGAAAGACCGCTCCGTCAGTCTAAGAACGTTCTCCGCATCATCGAAGAGTGTCATCTGCGAAGCTCAGTGGCATGCGGCATTCCAGGGGCATCTAAAACAATCTAAAAGCCCCACTCCTACCAGCAACTGGTAAAACGTTGGGCCCCCTTTCCATGCATTATAGCCCTGTACCCACAAAGGGAAATGTGTGGGGCACGCCCCCTTTCTTGGCTTCCATGCATTGCATCGGGGTTGGAGATCATTTACGCAATGGGAACGATCTAACTATGGTGAACTCATGTAAGAAGCACGCGGCTTGGCACCCATGTCAAAGCAGCACGATCACCTTGCTCCTCTTCGCATCCCCCCTTCCAGTACACTGGCCAAAGGGCCAACCGTGTGCATCTCCAACACCTCGGGACTCCTTTCCGGGCTGCTGCCTGATTACAGAAACATCTGGGTGGCTAAGCAAGAATCAAAAACTTCCAGCTTTCGTTTGTTTCTCTTCAGTTCGAACCCCTCCCCAACTGGCTTGCCTCCTCTGCGGGCTCTAGGCTGGCATCTTCTCGAGTCCAATCCTGGTCCCCACGAGTGACACTGCGGTACCTGTTTACAAAAAAGGGATGTCAAACTTGGATTTGTCAAAGTAAAGGGTAATGCGACCAAAGCTGCTATTGGCAAGGATCTCGGGCATTAGGGCACACATACACACATTGTGAATGAGGGTTGAAAGGGTATCTAGAGGATAAAGTCGCAAATCTCGTGTACATGGTATGCAAGTAGTTTCCAGCCAAAGAGTGCGACTTGCAGACCGGCTTCCCATGCCAGGAGTTGCTATCCGTGCAAACAGCGCTACAGAAGCACAGCTTCCTCAAACTAGGCAGAGTTGTGCTTGTCCAGGCTTAGGGTAGAATGGTAGAATCTGGTTCACCCGCGACTCGGCACCAATCCTATTACACAGGTACGCAACTCGGGCCCTTGTTGCATTGGTATGTGGCGGGAATTTCGGGCTTGGTATCTCACAGCTCCAGCTCGCAATTCTGCTGCACACGGGCAGTACACGAAAAGACAAAGTACTCTTCCAGTGCTTCAGCTCGGAAGTTGCAACTGAGCACAAAGCAATGAAACACCAGGCCTTTTCTTTGCTTGTGTACATTTCAGCTGTGTAACGACTATGTAATGAGTCTGAGGCAAAACAAGGTATGACACAGCAAGATAATTCTTCCAACCCGACATTGCAAAAGACTGCAATCAGCGGGCCCCAAACAATAACACATATTTTCGGGGAACACATTGTTTATTGGCGCAGAGGGGTCTCGTTTCATAGAGGAAGGGAGTATGTAACAAATGTCTGCCACAGCCTTACTGCATACGACTCAAACAAACTCACTGACATATGAGTCGAGTTGCAAGTGGACGCATCTGATATGTTTCATGGGGAATCTATGCCTGCAAACCATGTCAGCGTGTTTCCTCGATAAACAGAGCATAGCCTTATTGCAGGTGAATCGCCACCCTTACCCTCCCAAAGAGTCGATTCCGATCACATTTCAACCATTGCTTGCTGCGGTCCCCTCAACCTCAACCTTGCGAAGCTGATTTGGGATGTCTCAGAATTAAACAACCTCTCCTAACTCAACCCCAAAAGGGTATCAAGCCTCAAAACCAAACACACCTGAGTTGGACCTATAGCGTGCAAAGGATACATTCTCGCAGGCCTGGCGAAAATCATCACGGGCATCATGTCGATATCTATTTTGGATTCTCAAGGATCTGTCGAAAAACATCAGGAATCCCAGTGAAGCCCGGCCCCTCCCCACAGGCTTCTCAGTCTACAGGAATCTTCCCCATGCTTTTCAACCAGCGTTCTTCAGAAAAACAGCTGCCCCCGTGTTTGTTGTGGTGGCTTTGAGGAGAAGTGGATCCCTGGAAAACATGGGGGCAATTCGGAAGCTACCCCTAGACTTGCAGGCGCTTGGGAATGAACTCGGGGATTCCCTTGAGGAAACAACCAGGGATGGTTCAATTTGGGGTCATTGCCTTACTCCTTCCTGAGAACCAGCAAGAAGGACGCTCGAGCCAGGCAGGAACGAAAGCAAGCAGCAGGCGCGGATTGTGGACGGGACAGGGGGTG